CCAGTCTCTTTTGTGATCTTACTAAATAGTCAGTCTTTTTGGTGAAGAACTTTTGAAGATCTTGCACCTGCCTATCTGCTTTCGACTGACTTTCCAATAGCTCATTGAGTAATTTTGATATCGTTTTTGAAGTCTTTGTCTGATCGGTCCTCTATATTTGTATCCTTTATATTTGTCCCAGAACTTCTATTCTTCTCATTTTGTTATTCCACCTTGTGCTCAGCTATTCCTTGCTTCCTAAGCTATGTGTTGCCTTATTTGCTGTGTGTATATAGTTGGCATGCTAGGAATTTAGTTTAGTGTGTTTCTTTTACTTTGGCGGGAAGAGGAGTGTGGGTATTTAATATTTGATCTCACTTTGGGAGTAAAGTGGGTTGTCTGTTTTTCCTCTTCTTTCATTCCACAGCAAGCTGTATTCTGTGGTTAACTTTTCTTAACTTTCCACGCTATCTCCTATTACTCCTTTTTGCCTTAAATTGTAATCGGTGAAGCTTGAGTCTTGCAGTGGGAAGAGCAAGGTCTGGACCACCAGGTTGACACTCTGGGACTCATTTGCATTTGTCTGGCAAGTGGCACAGTTCTTACAGTGCAAGTGGTGGACAGCTGTGTGCCAACTTGTCACTATGATTGCCTACAATGGTTGGTGCCACCCCAACCCCTCTCTGCTGCTGAGGCAGTATTTGCATATCTTTGTTTACTTTACCAACTATTTCTTGAGTTATTCACATGTCTGTCTCTCTGCTATTGGTCTTTTTGTGGAGTCTGGCTTGACTCAGCCTGTCATTACTTTGATCTTTTCCTAGAGTGAGGAAGGGAGAGAGCTTTCGGTAGGCATGCCAACCCAGTTGTAGAATTCCCAATTCTGAGTTTCCTCTGGCTTAGGTAGGGTCTACACCACTCACATGTCAGCAGAGTTTCTTCAGCAAACTTCGCAATCTCCTTGGCTGCCCCCATTGTGGTTTGGATCATTGACGCCCAAGCCCTTTCTGCCAGCTGGGCTACCTACTCTCCCAGCTATGCACCCCTGCGCTTTATCTCACTCCTTCCCTTCAGCAGTCAGAAACCTTAGCTTGGGATCTCTGTGGAAAATTACTGTCACTCTATCGAGGGGACTGAGGATCTGGATCTTCCTATGAGCAAGTTTACATATATTTTCTATAGCTGTTTTAAGGTTGTGGGTGCTCTCAGCCACTCTTTCCTGCCATGTTGTGGATTTTGTGTGATTGCCTGTTTTTCTCCCTCCTTACAGCGCGGCATGTGGGATTTTCCCTTTTCTTCAGTATTTTGAAATTCATCCCAATATACTCTATTATTGGTCTACTTTTACTAATTGTGCAAGACACTTGATAAGCCTTATTTTGGAAACCCATGGTATAGTACTGGGAAATATTCTTGAATTATATATTGATGTCTTTCTCTTTATTTGGTTAGGCCTTTTTTAAAATTAATTTTTTTAAAAAGATGTAGTTATTTATGCATACAGAATTGGGGTATAGGCCAGAGATGTAGGGACAGTGAGAGGATTCATCAGACACAGAGTGGGAAGCAGAACAGGCAGGTAGACTGAAACACTACTGAGGGGAGAAGGCGGTGGGTCAGGAGAGGTCTGCTGCGCCAAGTGGGTCACCTCCAGGGCTGGGGATCTGTGGGGGACCTGTCCCAATTTCAGGCTATTGAAAGGCAGACACAGGCAGGATCCTAAGGTGGGAATGACGTCTGCGAGCGGCTATTCCAAAAATTGCCGGGCAAAGGGGAGCGGGCGCGAGGAAGACTGGGGAATCGGAGTTGGGTGCAGTCTTCCTGCTCTGCCTTCAGCAGAGGTTTATTTTATACATTTCAAACCGGCGGAGGGATTACATTAGCATGTGAAATGGACTGAGATCACAATCCCCTTTTTTCTAAGAATAGTGGGGGGGGGGGTCAGGTCGTTTTGACCTTTAGTTGAGATTATAACATTTTTAAAATCAGTCCATCAAGGTTCAATAGGTACATAGATTCACAAAGTTTAAGACTAATATTACTATATTTACCACAGTGACTAACCAAAATAAAGTCCCTTAAACCTTATCTACTACTTAAGGGCTTTCATTATCATCGAGACATCCTAGGGGGTAAAGTAAAGTGAGGGCAATTAGAGGAAATTTCTTGTAAATCAAATTACAGTAAAGTTCTTTGAAAAACTTGTTAGAAAGTTTAACTGAATTTTCTTGAAGTCTAGACAGAAGAAAACTTAATTAGCTCTGAATAGGAGACTTGGGTGAATTTTTTTATCTAAAGACTAGATAGTAGAATCTTGAAGAACTAGTGGCTTATGTGAATTCCTTTGAAGTTTAGACAGTAGAAAACCTGATTAGCTCTGAATAGGCCACTTGGGTGAATTTCCATATCTAAAGGCTAGATATTAGGGAGAGACTTTGCAATAACTGCCATTTGCTTTTATTAATCAGCCAGTTGTCAAATCACTTTTGACTTCAAGAGGAATTTCTCACCCTGGTGCAGTGCTTGCTTGTCAGGGCAGGCAGGCCTTATGCAGCTGAGGCAATCCAATTGTAAGCTGAAGGTTGCTCAGAATATTTTGATATTATGATTATACAAAAAAGGGAGGTCATAACATAAGTTAGCGTGGAAAGTCTGATTTTTCAGTGCATTTCCCCTCCATCAGTACCGAGTCTGTTGACAGAGGTTGCATATCTTGTGTCAGGAATCAAACACACTGAAGTGGTTGCATCCTTACCCGTTGTTCTATCAAGGAGGGCTGCCCCACCCCCCTTAAAATTAATTTGTATGTATTTTACATCTTTGTTCATTTTTGTACAATGTTTGCTTTTTCCTCTCAGGTGTGGTCCCTGTAAAATTCCCAACAATTCATCCTGCACCATCACCATACTCCCTTGTGTTCCCTCCCATTGTGCCTCCTTTCCTTCCTCCTCCCTCTCCCCTGTGGAATGTTTCTGACTTATAGTTGATTTTTAAATTTATTCTTGTTATTTTTCTCCTAATCCCTTATTTGGTTCCCCTACACTCCTCCTATAAGTGAAACTATCCAATGTTTTTTCTTTCTCCTCCTGTGTCATTTCACCCTAGCATAATCCCTTCTAGCTCCATCCAGTGTTTTTGCTAGTGACATGAGTTTATCTTTTTTGATTACTGAGTAGTAGTCTATTGTGTGTATGTACCACATGATCTTTATCCAGTCACTGTTTTTGGGCACTTGGGTTGTTTCTGTATCCTACTTATTGTAAATAGTGCTGCAAAGGGGTGCAGGTATCCTTTTGAATTAATGTTTTTGTGTCTATTGGGTAAATTCCTAGGAGTGGAGTTACTGGGTCATATAGTAACTCCATTTTTATTTTGTTTTGAATATTTATTTATGCATACAAGAGCTGGGGTACAGGGCAGGGGAGTGGGGTTGGGGGGATGCATGTGAGAGGATTCATCAGAGACAGAGTGGGTAGCTGAACAGGCAGACTGACTGAAGTACACTGCTGAAGGGAACAGTGGACGGGACAGGGGAGGTCTGCTGTGCCATGTGGATCATTTCCCTGGCAAGGGATTGAAATCGTGCTGCTGTGGATAGCCTCATAATGCTGCATTTAACCCTTTGCAATGCCAGGGAGGCCCCAGTAGCTTCATTTTTAATAGTTTGAGGAACTTCCACACAGTCTTCCATAGTGGCTGGACTCCCCAGTTTGCACTCCCACCAGCAGCATAGAATTCCTTTTTCCACATCCTAACCAACATTTGTTGTTGCCTTCCTCTGTCTCATGTTGCAAGTTCTCTTCCATTAAGATTCATCTAGTGGCACAGGGGTGAAAGGCTCAGTGCTATCTAGCTGTTGCCAGCCACTGCAGCACGAGTTTGATCCCTGGCCAGGGAGGTGACCTGCATGGCTCAGCAGACCTCTCCTGTCTTGCCCACTGCCCCCTCAGCGGTGTATTTCAGTATATCAGCTTGTTCTGCTCCCCACTCTGTCTCTGCTGAAATAAGGGGAGCAGTGGGCAGGACAGGAGAGGTCTGCTGCACTTAGGTGGGTTAGCTTACTGACCGGGGATCATATTCAGGCTTGTCTGTGCTTTTTTATACAGAATGTCCTTGGTTACTTGATTGTGTTGCCTTTGATTCTGTAAGCTCCTTGAGAACGGGAATTGCTTCTCTTATTTGTAGACTCAGCTTGTAGTATAGAACCTGGCATACACCAGGCTGAATGAGTGGGTGCTTATTATCAGGACAAATTCAATTCCCCTTTTTTGTTTATTCTTAAAACAAAAAAGATGGTCTCAGGCCCTCCCTGGTGGTGCAGCGGGTTAGGACGCAGTACTACAAGCTGGCCATAGCTGCTTCAGTACGAGTACGATCCCTGCCTCAGTGGTGATCCACATGGAACAGCAGACCTCTCCTGTCTTGCCCACTGCTCTCCTCAGTAGTGTACTTCCAATCTGCTGTTCTGTTCCTTACTCTGTGTCTAGTGAATCCTCTCACCACCCCTGCACCTCTGGCCTGTTCCTCAGTTCTATATGCATAAATAAATAAATTTTAAAAAACAAAAAACCTGAAACAGTTTTTGAAAAAGGTTAAAAAAAAAAACCTAATGGTTTCAGTCTCTGTTCACCTCTCTGTTTCCTTCATGCCATTATTTGCTTAAAAAGAAGCTTCCATGTGTCCAGGCTGAGGGTTAAATCATAATCACTGCAGTTATTGAGCAGGAGCAGATCTGATATGAGTACTTGATCATCTGCTTCCATTTTTTTGTGTGACTTTTCCTTCATAGTGAGTAAATGAAGAGTATCAGTTACAAGGTATTGAGTCACCATACAATCTTTTATCAGTGATAGAAATTAGTTTAATTTAAATTACAGACACATCAGCATATTCTGCTACTTATGTTCATGTAGGGTGTGGTGTGTGTCTGTCTCAGACCACTGCCCACCCCGCTTTCCCAAACTGACAGAGGGAAATGTTACTGGAAGGACTGTCACTCATGTTTTATTCTCTGCACTTAGTTTTATAAGAAGACCAAACAGCTGCCGATCTTAGTGAAGTGTTGTGAGGAAATTCAGCCCCATCAATGGAAACCACCAGTGGAGAGGGAAGAACACCGGCTTCCGTTCTGGTTAAAGGTACAGCCCGCCTCCCCAAAGTATGTTGGAGAAGAAGGTCACAAAAAACCCAATAGGAAACACCAAGGACTACCAGATACCTCTAATGCCTTAGTTGTAAAATAGGCATTAGGAAATCTTCCTCATTTACTCTATCTGCCTGCTTCACTCTTTTAGAAATAATGGTAAAGTGATAGCTTCCCAAAGGAAATTCAAAGAAATGTTTCTAGAATATATACCTGGAATACAATCTTCATACAAATGTGATATAGGGCAGAAAAAACTGTCTTGAAAAGATGTCTTGAGATTGTTTTGGAAATGTACCTAAAATCTAAAAACCCTATTATTTGTGTGCGTTTGTGTCGCTGTATTTTTTACCACCTTGTGAATATGTTTGTTCCCAATAGGCCAGCCTGCCATCCATCCAGGAGGAGCTGAGGCACATAGCTGATGGTGCCAGAGAGGTAGGAAATGTGACTGGAATTGCTGAGATCAACACGGACCCAGGCCTAGAAAAAGGCAGTTCAGAATTGGGCAGTGAAACTTGGTATCCACTGCTGTTGCCAAAGGGTGTAGTGCTGAAACTGAAGCCAATTACCAACCATTTTTCCAGGAAGGGTCGAAGACAAAAGCGATCATCAGCCACGAAGCCTCTTGCTGGCAGACCCAGCACTTCTCTCCAGCCTAGCTCCAACTCTGGGAAAACACCAGTTAGGCTGACTCAGTCAGAGGCCCCTCCGAGCAAAATGGTGGTCCGGATTCCTCAGCTAATCCAGCCAGCCACTGTCTTACAGACAGTGCCAGGTGTCCCTCCACTAGGCATGCCGGGGACTGAGAGTTTTGAGTCTGCAACCGCACTGCCTTCTACACCCCCTAAGGCCAGGGCCAGCTTCCCTGTGTCTGAGACCCAGACCCTACTCTCCAGTGTCCCTGTGCCTAAGGTTATGCTGCCCTCACTTGCCTCTTCTAAGATTCAAAAGCCATGTGTGAAACGGAAAGGTCCCAAGAGAAAGGGGGCTAAGACCTCTCTTTGTCTGGAGGCTGCCCCCCTCATCCATACCACACCTGTTATCTTCACCGTTCCTGCCACCACTGTGAAGGTTGTGAGCCTTGGCAGTGGCTGCAATGTGATTCAGCCTGTCAATGCAGCTGTGGCCCAGAGTTCTCAGACCATTCCCATCACCACCCTCTTGGTTAACCCTACTTCTTTCCCCTGTCCTTTGAACCAGCCCCTTGTGGCCTCTTCCATCCCACCCTTAATTGTTTCTGGCAATTCTGTGAATCTTCCTGTACCTTCCACCCCTGAAGACAAGGCCCAGGTGAATGTGGACATTGGTTGTCCTTTGAGTGAAGGGAAAAATGCCTTTCAAGGCTTACAACCCAAATTAGAACCCCTGGAGCTGTCTCCCCTCTGTGCTACTGTCTTCCCCAAAGAGGAGCACAGCCCAGGGCCTCCACCAACTGGTAGAGTGTGTCAGGAAGAATGGTCAGAGAACAATGCCTATGGCTGGACAATTGTGAAAACAGAGGAAGGAAGACAAGCTCTGGAACTACTGCCTCAGGGCTTCCAGGAATCCCTAAATTCCCCGCCTGGGGATTTAGAGGTAATTGTCAAAATGGAACCTAAAGACCCTGGGGAGGAAATCTCTAGAGGATTCCCTGAACCGGATGTTTGTGTTGAAATAAAAAAAGAACATTCCTTGGAACCGAACACTGGCTTCCCAAGTGAGGAGTCTAGTGGTGCTAGAGAGGTGAAGAAACACACAGTCTTAAAGAAGGAGGAGACTCAAGCAGCTAACACCTCTTCAGCTTCTCAGGAGCCTTTAGATGAAGGAAACTCAAATGTGAGCAGAGGCTCGCCAAAGACTGCCACCTCTGCTGACCCTGAATTGGTGCTGAGCAGTCCCCCAGGGAAGCCTGAGGACTCATGTAGTGTTGATGGTCAGTCAGTGGGGACCCCGGCGGGGCCAGAAACTGGAGGAGAGAAGGATGGGCCGGAGGAAGAAGAGGAGGAAGACTTTGATGACCTTACCCAAGATGAGGAAGATGAGATGTCATCAGCATCTGAGGAATCTGTGCTCTCTGTTCCAGAACTCCAGGTGAGAATTAGAATATCCCTCAATACTTTGTGGACTCAGTAGTATGGCCTGTTTGTCGCTAAACCATCCACTCGCTTAGTGCCCTTGAAAAGTCCTAAAGTCATTGGAGGTTTTGAATGCATTGTGGGACATGATAGTACATTGAGGTGAGATAGAAAGGTTGGAAGTTTGCTTAAGCTATTTAAACATTGAGTTGCATCACCTGAACACAATTAAACACACATCTATCGCATATACACACATGTGTATTATATAATCATAATTGTAGATCAAGAGAAGGGAAAAACTATGTTCAGGATAAAGGTGAACCATTCAGAAAACTTCCTCTCCCACCTGCTATTAGGCAGCAGTCTTGGTGATCCTCTAATTCCAAAACTCAGAGGCTGCTGATAATTGATTTCCCCGCCCCACTGACCACACTCAGCCTGCCCTGGTAAACTCTGTGCACTCAGCTCTTTGTGAGCAGCCAGGAGCTCTGTGAACACTCTGTGTGGGGGTTGCAGGAAACAATGGAGAAACTGACTTGGTTGGCATCTGAAAGGCGCATGAGTCAGGAGGGGGAGTCTGAGGAAGAGAACTCTCAGGAAGAGAACTCTGAGCCTGAAGAAGAGGAAGAAGAAGAAGCAGAAGGAATGGAAAGCATGCAGAAAGAAGATGAAATGACAGATGAAGCAATTGGAGACCCTGCCGAGAAGCCTCCGGCCATCTTTGCTTCACCCAAGACTGCTCCGGTAGAGGCCAGCAGGACTCCGCCAGGTGAGTTCGGCCTCATAGTCCAAAGGCCAGTATGTAGAGTGGCTGATAGGAGATTTCCAGAAGAAACCCTGGCTCTCCCCTGCAAACTCCCTGCCCTGAACAGATGCTTTACCTGGTGCCTTTAGAGAGAAGAGATGCTCAGAAATGTTAACTTGGAATCTTAGCAGCAGCTACTTTTGTACTAGGTTCACCCAAGTTTTTATACTGTTCCTAATAAACCTGTGACATACAAGGTTAAGAGCTGTGTTTATTTCAGAAGCACTGCTCTTTCCTCACCAAGACTTAGTGTTTGGGTACATAAAATGAGTCATATTCTCTAGACCAGCTTTCTCAAATGTGGTGGCTAAGTATCTTATTGTCACCCCAGTCAGTGCGGTACACTGCAGACTGCCAAGAGCTGACTTGGTGGAGACAGGTTTTTCTCTCTTACATTTTCCAGTAGCTTTTCTTCTGAATTGCTCCAAAATGTTGAATAGGATTTGGATGGATGGGTGCATGTGGTGGGATGGGAAGAGTAGGGGTTGAAGGGCCAGAGAAACAAATCTTTTGTTCCTCCAAGGAGAGAGCATCAAAGCTTCTGGAAAAGGCCGGAGAAACCATCGAGCTCGAAATAAGCGGGGAAGTCGGGCCCGGGCCAGCAAGGACACCTCCAAGTTGCTGTTGCTGTATGATGAGGACATTCTTGAACGGGATCCACTCAGGGAACAGAAGGATTTGGCCTTTGCTCAGGCTTATCTGACAAGGGTAGGCAAATGCTGCTCCTGTAATGTTTGTCCCTTGTGAAGGAGGCCACTTCTCCTTTAAGGGGAGATATTTTTAAAATAAACCCACCTTTCGTTAAAAGATTTATTTATTTATTTATTTTTGTGTAGAAGAGCTGGGGTGTAGGCCAGAGATGTGGGGAGGGGGTGGTGATAGGTCGATACCATTGAGACTTAATTAATCTGCTTTTCAGGCTGCACAGCAGACTTGTATATCTCTGCCTTACTCTCTTGGAACAATAAAAGCTCTGTGTGAGAGAACCACAAGAGACAGAGTTTAGTCATCAGCAGCTTTAGTATTAGTAGTTTAGCATTACCCTTCTCTACCCAGAAGTTGGGGAAAGATAATAATGTCATCATCAGTGGGTGCTAACTTCATTGGGTGGGCTAGTAAGGACTTTACGGATCCTCTGGCCTGAGATCTTAGGTGTACTAGCCAGAGAGTGGGTCTCAGGGAAACATATTGAACTTCAGAGATAATCAAACAACCTGTTTCTAGTAGCTTGTCCTGATAGTTATTCAGTCGCTATTGCATTCTGTTGTTTGTTTTGTCTCCCCAGCAAAGTACAGTGCTAACAGCGATAATCGTGATTTTTCCTTGTAGTTTGTTAACATTCTAATTTATGTACTATTTACTCTCAGCTAATGCAATGCTGCCTTCCTTTATGTATAAAACACTCCTTTATTGATTTCAATATGGACCTGAAATCAGGGAGGAAAGATTTGGGGCTATGAGTATAGAGGAAGATTAACTTGTTTTTGTAGGTAGTGCTGTATTGCCGGGAAAATGTAGGTTTTTGATTTGCCCACTACCAGAAAAGAAGTTGTACTTGTTGATCTCTATCTTCCATTAATAGCCAGATGTTAGGACCTGTTGAAAGAGTAACTTCAGGAGGATAATTCTTGGCAATCTCTCATAATAACTCTTTCTCTCTCTATTCTTGCTGCTTTTCGGAACCCAAAGCAAGGGTATTGATTGAAATTCTTCTAATAGGTACGAGAAGCCTTACAACATATCCCTGGCAAGTATGAAGACTTCCTCCAGGTCATCTATGAATTTGAGTCAAGTACTCAGAGGCAGACAGCTGTGGATCTCTACAAAAGTCTACGGACTCTACTCCAAGACTGGCCTCAGCTGTTGAAGGATTTTGCTGCTTTCCTGTTGCCTGAGCAAGCTCTAGCCTGTGGATTAGTAAGTTGATGGGTAGAAATAGAAAACCCTGTAGGTTTCTGGGGACAGAACGAGACTGGAGTTGAATAGGATTGATGATCACTGTTCACTGTTCTGACTTGTTTCTAGCCTTTCCCTTGCCCACGGTGATCTGTATCTTTTCAAGAAGTGGTCTTCCCAATTCCTAATCTCTCACTTTCTTTATGAGGAATGAGGACTTGTACCCTGTTCCTGCCTATTATAAAATGGGCACTCACACAAGTACTTGTTGAGTGTCTACTATGTGTTAGGCAGAGTTCTAGGAACCAGGAATATAGTAATTATAAAAGACTAAAGTCCTTGTCTTCATGGAGCTTACATTCTCATGAGTAAAGTCAGATGATGAACAATAAAATAAAACAAATACATACATAATATGTTGACAGCTATAAGAATTATATATAAAAGCAGTAAACTATGTGGTACATAATGCTTATAGAAAAATCAAATAGGAAAGAGGAATAGAGTTACAAGTAAGATGGATGAGGGGCCCTGGGAAGGCCACTGTAGAAGTGATATTTGAAATGTTCGAGATTTAGTGTCTACACATGAGGGATACTCCAGTACTTCTGAGCTTCTTTTCATGACTGAGAAAACAGGAATGTTAAATGATAATGGGATGATTACTCATATAATGTAGTGTTTCTACGTTATGAGGGTGAAATGAGTATTTATGAAAATTCTTTGTAAACCATGAAGTGTCACATGAATTTGAATGTCTGAATTCACAACCCAAGAAACAGTAAGCAGCTTGAGACATATCTATCACCTGACTTTTATTTTTTTTACAAAGGTTTATATATTTATACACATAAGAACTGAGGTGTAGGCCAGAGGTTCAGGGGGTAAAAGGACTCACCAGAGACAGAGTGGGGAGCAGAACAGGCAGGTGCTGAAATACACTGCTGAGGGAGGCAGCAGGTGAGATAGGAGAGGTCTGCTGCACCATGAGGGCTAGCTTCCTGGCTGGGGATTGAACCCGTGTTTCCCTGGTTGGTAATAGATTGATAGTGCTTTTTTTTTTTTTTTTTTTAAGATTTATTTATGCATACAAGAGCTGGCGTGCAGACCAGAGATGTGGTGGGGGCACAGAGACAGTGTGGAGAGCAGAACATTCTGAGGGGAGCAGTGAGTGAGATAGGAGAGGTTTGCTGCTCCATTTAGTTCACCTCCCTGACCAGGGATTGAACTTGTGCTGGAGTGGCTGTAGATTGCTTTATACTGCTGTAATTTAATCCCTTGGATAGCACTGTGTCTTTAACCCCTGTGCCACCAGGGAGGCCCTTCCTCTTGACTCTTATGTTCATGTCATGGTGAATTGGATTGGTAGACACCACTAGCCCAAGGTAGATGCTAGAGCTTAAAGAAGACCTCACAGTCGTAAACTAGAATTGCACCATGCCCCCAGCCATTTCTCTTGGTTCTTAGAGTAGAACCTTTAGGTCCGGCTCTAGCTGAATAGGTGACCTTCCTCTCTTGCTCTCTTTCCACTCTGGTAGTTTGAGGAGCAGCAGGCTTTTGAGAAGAGTCGCAAGTTTCTTCGGCAACTGGAAATTTGCTTTGCTGAGAATCCATCACACCACCAGAAGATTATCAAGGTCCTCCAAAGCTGTGCAGACTGCCTGCCGCAGGAAATCACTGAGGTATTTTCTTCTGTCCTGCTTCCTGTTTGCTGTCATCTGAGCCTTGGTCTGTTCCTTCTCCCTGCGTCTGGGGTACCCTGGGCGTCCTGAAAGAGATGAAGAAGGTACGACTCTAGGCTTACCTAAAGCCTAAAGCACTGGAGGGAGGAGTGTGTGTCTCCTAGTTGACTAGGAATGTAAAACTTGCAAGTATTCGGTTTTGGTCTGGCAGCCCACAGGCAATGGACACTTCACCTTTCCCTCCTCAAATCCCCCCAGCTCAAGACACAGATGTGGCAGCTTCTCAAGGGCCATGACCACCTACAGGATGAGTTTTCCATCTTCTTTGACCATCTGCGTCCAGCAGCTAGCCGGATGGGTGACTTTGAAGAGATCAATTGGACTGAAGAGAAAGAATATGAGGTACAGGCCCTGCAGCTGCAATAGATTTGTGAAGGGGTAAGTTCATGAGTGGAGGGATATCTCCTCAGAGTCTGTGTTGAGTGGTATCCACTCCTCCCCAGTTTGATGGCTTTGAAGAAGTAGCACTACCTGATGTGGAAGAGGAAGAGGAACCTCCCAAGATACCCACAGCTTCAAAGAACAAAAGAAGAAAAGAGATTGGGATCCAAAATCACGATAAGGTACACCAGGTTGTTGGGGACTATCCATTTTTCATGAATTGCGCCTTGAGTTTTCTGTCTAAATGTTTCTCTGAGGAGTGTGGCCCCATGCCCTTGCACCCTGAGGCAATCGTGGAGCAAGAGCCAGAGATCAGGCTGCCATGGATGTCCAGGACCCAGGGGAAGAAAAGCACAGTTCTTGAAGAGGCCCCACCCTGATTAGGAGCATCTGTTTCTTCCTTGTCTCTCTAATTGGAGCTGTTTCTCTTGCCTTAGGATCTTAATGTTTTCTTTCTTTCATATGAAAATATAGAACCAAAATTCTCCATTTTAAGACAGTCAGTACTTACCTCTGTTACAAAGTGTAATGTATTGCTTGGAAGTATTTTTCATGGATTATTAGCTCATTTAGTTCTCGCAATAGTCCTCTGAAGAGATTTGCTTATTTGCCTTTTGCAAAAGCTGAAGTAGTTCAGAGAGGATCTGTTTAATTGGTAGTAATCTACTTGTACTTACTGCTTTCTACTGTCTTTTTAATGTCTCTTTACTACATATCTTGTCTCCTTTCATGGGGAAATATGTCTTAGTTTCTATATGACCTTGGACAACTTATTTAATCTCTCTTTGAGTTTCTTTATCATCAGTGGGAATACTAATGGTACTTATCTTGGGTTTATTGAACAGAGTGTCACTGAGTGACCCATATGTTCCAGGCTTTCTCTCAAGGGATTTAGAAGGTAGAGAACAACCCTCCCTGGTAGCAGAATGGGTTAAAGTGTAGCACCATGAAGCTCTCTGAAGCCACTCACCATGAGTTTGATCCCCCGCAGGGAAGCTGACCCACATGGTGCAGTAGACCTCTCCTGACCCGCCCGCTGCTCCCCTCAGCAGTGTACTTCGTCAGTCTACCTGTCCTGCTCCCCGCTTTGTCTCTGGTGAATCCTTCACCACTCTTGCACCTCTGGCCTATACCCCAGTTCTGTATGCATAAATAAATAAATATTTTAAAAAATTTTATTAAAAAGAAGGGAGGGAAACTCAAGGCACAGAGGGATAGACAGTGACTTTGCCTCAGATTGTATTTGGCCGATACATAATTTTTTGAAACATCTGTCATTTGGGGTGTGTTAGCCTTTGGATCATTTAAGGAATTTTTCAGGATACATTATAGGCTTTAATAGAATGAATAGGAGTTGGTTTCCACAGGCAGTATAAGGAGAATGGTACATGATAAAGCAGAAAGCTTGGAGAAGGGGTTTGTCAGGGAAGGTTTGTTCAGATAGCTTACAACAGCTTAGCTTCCTTTCTTGGTACCAAAAATGCTTGGCAACTCTCTAAGCCCAGGTATCTCGTAGGAAGCTGAGTGGCCAGATGGAGCCAAGGACTGTGCCTGTTCTTGCCATGAAGGAGGTGCTGATTCCAAGCTGAAAAAGAGCAAAAGAAGACATTGTAGCCACTGCAGCACCAAGGTGAGGAGGGAGGTACTACAGGGGTGTCAGCAGCCTGAGGCAGTTCCCCCATGATCTTACCCTTTAGGGTATTATTTGGGTCTTATTGAATTCCTAAAAAGTTACACATAAATAAATAATATCCAACACATATGTACATGCATAACTAGGCAAAATAAGTGAACTCTTAAAATATATGATGGAGCCTCCCTGGTGGCTCCAGGGTTTAAATGTCAACCGAAGCTATCGGCAGCCACTGCAGCACAAGTCTGGTCCTCAGCCAGGAAGCTGACCCACATGGTGCAATAGACCTCTCCTGTCTCACATGCTACTCCCCTCAGCAGTATGTTTCAGTCAGTCCGCCTGTTCTGCTCCCCACTTTGTTTCTTGTAAATTCTCTCACCCCTTATAATCCTCTTTCTCCCTGCACTTCTGGTTTGCACTCAGTTATTGTTTGCATAAATAAATAAAAAAAGAAACAGACTCTGGGCCCTCCTTGGTGGTGCAATGGGTTAATCACAGCACTATGACGCTAGCCACAGCCACTGCAGCATGAGTTTGATTCCCGGCCAGTGAGGTGACCCACATTGCCTGACAGACCTCTCCTGACCCACCTGCTGCTCCACTCAGCAGTGTTTCAGTCGATCTGCCTGTTCTGTTCCCCACTCTGTCTCTGGTGAATCCTCTCACCTACCACACCTCTAGCATGTACTCCAGTTCTTGTATGCATAAGTAAATAAATCTTTAAAAAAGAAAAGAAACAGGCCCTAAAGATACTTGGTTCTTTAGTGTAGGATCAGTTGGTAGCAGAGATACAGCCTTTGCTCAGAAGAGTCATAGGATCCACTCTGCTCTGTTGACTTGCTGAGTTCATGGCAGGGTTTCATCCTTTGGTCAGCCCCTAAGACAAAGGAGATTCAGAGACCCTTGACCCAGAAGGCTATCTCTGCAGGTCTGTGACAGCAAATCCTACAAGAGCAAGGAGCCCCATGAGTTGGTGGGCAGTAGCCCCCACCGAGAACCAAGCCCTGTGCCTGGTGTGAAGGATGCTGTGCAGAGCAAAGATGTGATGGAAGAGGAAGCTCCTGAAGAGCGAGAGAGCCTGGAGGCAACTCAGAGCAGAACTGCCAAGACCTCCAGAAAGGGAGAGGTGATCATTACCGGTGAGTGATAATGGCCCGCCCAGCCACTCTTTCTGTCTCGTGCCTGTGTTTTTAGTTTTGATGTTGGACCAGTCTCCTCAGTCTTTTCAGCACCCACCCCCCCCACCCCCCTTTTATGTTTGAGCTTTTATCACAGTAACTCTCCAGCAGGGTCCTGTGGTAATCTGTAGTCCTTGGATATATGTTGACCCTGCTCGTACCTATGCAGGGCTGGCAGTGGAGAGCACTTTGCTGTCCCCTCAAGAAGTGCATGTTACAGACCCACCCCTCCTGGATGGACCAACACCTCCCTCTGCAGAGACGCCTCAGCTTCCTCCCCGAACTGGAGCTGTGTTATCCACTGTTCAGAGGAACCAGACTGGACCTGAGGACCTTTCCTATCCCAGCGTGTCCCCCAGAATTCAGAATGACAGGGAGGACCTTGGGGCAGTGGGTGAGGCAGAGACTTCTGTGCCAGTCTGGAATGCAGCAGAGACTGAGAAATTGCCTGGAACTCTTGAAACTCCTGCTTCCTTCCCAAGTACTGTTTCCTCAAGGACCAAAGACTTAGTGGGGAGACAGGTACCTGGGAAACCAGCTTCTCAAGAGAGCTGGCTCCCATCAAGTAGAGCTAACGTGAAGACAGTGGACAGAATGTCCCCTGTCCAGGAATCTGTATCGGGAACGGACACCTCAGAGACTTCTCCCAAATCCCCTGGAGGAGGTTTGGCTAAAGACAGCAGCACACAGGCTAAGAGTCCTGAGGGGGAGCAGCAACCGAAGGCCACAGAAGCTACAGTATGTGCCAACAACAGCAAGGTCAGCTCCACTGGGGAAAAGGTGGTGTTGTGGACAAGGTAGGTAGGGTGGGTGAAGTGTGTGTGTTTGCAAGTGTGGACACACTCAACGGTACTAAGTCGGATTCCCTGACGTGGGTTGCAGGGAAGCTGACCGTGTGATTCTGACCGTGTGCCAGGAGCAAGGAGCACAGCCACAGACCTTCAGCATCATCTCCCAGCAGTTGGGAAATAAGACCCCTAATGAGGTAAGAGGGCCAGCTGTCACCATGCTACCCAAAAAGACAGAGGACCTCTGTGAGAGGACGGGGTGGCAAAGCGAGATGCAGACGAGACACCTACTAGTGAATATAGTGGTGCATCCCAACTTGTCACTGTGTATAGTAGTAGTGAAAAAAAAAAGGATGTTCAACATTAAGAAATTCCACTCTAGCTTTTAGGCATGTGACTCTGGGCTAAACATGTTATCTCTGCATCTAATTCTCCTTATCTCTAAGGAGTGCTCAGTCTTTCTGGGTGAAACCAGTTAAGATTTTGAACTGGGTGTGCAGTGCTTAGTTAAGTGTTAAAACTGTTATAGCTGAGAACACAGCCCTCTCCACTCCTAGGTTTCCCACCGTTTTCGAGAACTTATGCAGCTCTTTCACACCGCCTGCGAGGCCAGTTCTGAGGATGAGGATGACGCAACCAGCACCAGCAATACCGACCAGCTGTCTGACCGTGGGGACCTTCTGTCTGAAGAGGAGCTGGATGAATGAGACTGTGGGGACTTGTGGGTGTTGTCTTCACTGGATCAAACTCCCTGGGCACCTGCTGAGGGAGAGGGGGTGTGGACTGTCCTGCACACCCGCGGGCTCAGTATTCAGAGCTGGAGGAGCAGGGGCTGGATCTGCTGTTGCGTCAGTCTGGGGCCTTTCACAAAGACCTCAGGAATGGACACACATTGTAAATAGTGTTGGGCAAGAGTGGGGCTCAGTTCTTTTTCTACTTTTTTTTTTCCTGTCTGGTGGTACATATTTATTCTGGGATCAATCACGGTGTTTCTAAGTGTAATGAATACATTTGTTGGTGTAGTGAATCCCAAGACACTGAGCTCCTTCCCGCACCCAGCAGTTTTTATTGTAAAGTAGCTCTTTTCTCGGAACTTCAGGCCATGAGGCTGTCACCACCCTGGTAGCACTGGGCCAGGTCATGCAGTTCCTGCAGCATCTCTTCCAGGTCATCCTGTTCCACGCCAGCGTCCATGAAGCTGGCCCAGCGCCGCAGGTCGAGTCTGGTGAGCTCTTTGGCCAAGCCTTCCAGGGTCCCGTTCAAGGATGAAGGGGAGCACAGGGCCCCAAACACTGGGATGCTCTCCACTGCTATGGTGGGGGAGAACAGACCCAGAAATGAACTGTTGTTCTACCCTGGAGCTCTGCTGTACACATGGGGAAGTGTAGGTCTTTGGACTGTAAGGTAAACTCAGTACATTCTGTGTACTGGCCCCGCCCCCCGCCCCCTCTCCCCCCAGTAGCCCGGTACTAGCGTGAATAAAGGAACGTCGAACGAGCATTGTGTCTTTCCCCAGGGAGGGAAACATGCCTGACCTGAAATCTTGATTTTCTTCACCTCCTACATACCTGGCCCAGTCAGTGGACCATTCTGCTGGCTGAGGCTTGAGGAGAAGAGGTAGGGGTAAGGAGGGACCACCTTACAGGGCGTCAGCAGCAGGTGGGAAGAGCTGTGGGGTAGAGAACAGTGAGCAAACGGTAGGACAGGGCTGAGCATGAGAGGGGACAGGAGCAACACAAGTACCCACTGACCTCCTGACTCTAGGCTGTTGCTGCTGTAAATACTGGGCCAGGACTTCGTCCCCTGTGGCACACGCATGGAGCGGGGATGGCAGTGGTGTCCCTGGGGTGAGCTGACTGCCAGAACAAAGCCAAAACCACCTTAATTTGTGGCAGCATGAACAAGAAACTAAGAACTCCTATGTTCTCGGCCCCTCGGCTGAATCACGATGCTCTTCTTGTAAGCGGGGCAGAGGGGAGCGAGGGACTCCTTGAGATGGCGCAGAGGTCCAGAGGAAAGGCTGCGAGCAAGTCTCAGTCTGACCAGGGCTCCTTAGGACCCTGAGCTCTCACCTGGTGTGGCTCGCTCTGTCTAGGCCCCTTAGCACCACTGACTGGGCAAAGTATTGTGTTCCAGAAAGATCCCCACATGCAGACAGTGGGGTCCACGGGGTGCCTCCTCCAAGCTGCATCAAGGCGTCAGGAAGGGTCTGGCTTGGAACCAAGGGGAAGGGGATGGTTGCTCCTGCCGTCACCACCTGAAGATGAGGAACAGAGCAAGTCACAGAGCTGCTTGCCCAGCTCTACCCCAACCCATATAAAGCTGGGCATACCTTTTTCCCAGAGAAGCTCAGCATGTCAGCCAGATGAACCATGGAAACTGGTGAGGAGCGCAAGCGATATGGAACAGTGACTGTGTCCAGGGCTGTGGCTAGGATGGCACCACAGTGGAAGGGCAGAGTGGCCTGGAAAGAGGACATCAAGAGCAGCATTTGGCCTTTCAGGCCTAGAGAAGAGAGTAGGAGGCAAAATAGCTTTGGTAGTCAGGGCCCAGTGCTGCGGGACAAAGCAAGGGTATGCTGGTCCCAGGCTGGACAAGCACAAAACTGTGACCGACAAGACCTCATCCTCGCTGATTCTTTCTCAGCGAGGTGCCAGTAAGAGGGAAAGGCCGCCAGTGGGGTGGGAAGGCACCCCAAGGGGGAGGCTTACATCATAATGCAGGTGAGGGAAGCTGACAGGTGGCTCAGGTCGCAGTCCCAGACTTCCCCCCAGGGACAAGGGGCAGACCAGAGAGCTGTGAGCAGACAGGCGCACCAGCCCAAAAGCTGTGTTTAACACACGGTAGATGTTTTTCTGGGGGTCCTGGTGAAAGAAGAATTTGTCTTAGGCAACTTTTTCATTGGGATATCTTTCCCTCACCTCCTTCCCTACCCTCCAAGTTCTTTATCTTCCTCCAAGTTCTACTCACCCTGAGATTGTAAGGACCAGGGAGCAAGCCCCAGGTTATTATTCCCCGTCCTGAATACTCATCTTGCAGCAACTCGGCAGCCTTAGCGCCTACCCCAGAGAAGCCATCATGCAGGTCACACAGGATCTGGAACCCCTGGAAAGAGGTGAGTGATGAAAGACAGTAGGATGAAGTGTCGCCTGGGTGTCACCATGCCACACAGCTACCTGCAGGAAGTCACACTCCTCCACGTAGAAGTGTAGCCTGTCCTCTAGCTCTTCCAGGTACTTGGGGTCCTTCAGGATACTCTCTCCTTGACCAAATGCCTCTAGGCGACCTGCTTCCCTGCCATGCATCAACATAATCCAGGGCTTAGAGAGAACACCCCTGCCCGATTTCATGTTGGGGAGAGGCAGGGAAGATGGCCTTAGGAGTCTCCTCCAACATTGGTGGGCTCCCAGATTTTCACTTCACAGCCTTTGGGGCTCTCATACCCATCATGGTTGTATTTCTGAATCAAACAGATGCTCCGGGGATGGAGATGAACTCTCAGAAAATCTGACCAAACTCTGATGCTACCCTCCATGGGGATAAGTGGTTTGAGAGTTGTAGCAGTATGTGGTGGGGGATCTGAAGAAAAAGCACAAAGTGTCCCTTTCACCATGTTGCGGTCTGCCCTGTTCCCCATCCTGTAGTATCCAGAGACTCTCACCTTTGCCATTGGGAATGGACTTGACCCTCCAGATACCATCACTACTCAGCACTCCCTGGAAGGGATGAGAAAACTTACATTTAGTTCCTGGCAATCCAGAGGCTAAAGTTGACTTATCCTCCCCGATTTTGCTGGCCGTACCCTACAGCCTCCTTTCTGTATATATAGGCTTTGTCCTTAGGAAAATAGATGCTTTTTCTTACAAGGCCATTCCAAGGCATTTAAAATTATTAAAGTCCTCCTTTTCTCTGCATTCTGCTGTATGTAGCACTGGGATTTAAGGTGTAAGCAGAGGCCCTCACCTCTGCACTCAGAAGGTCCTGGAGGTAAGGGTTCCTGGAATAAAGCTCCTCTTTGTGTGTGGTGAGCTTCCCCTGCCTGAAGGAAATTGGAGATTTGACATTGTGAGAGTCACCCCTGAATTCTCTAGCTTCCCTGCCACCCCTCACCACTCATGGCCAATACCATGCTATCGCAGCATCTAGCTGTTTGTCCCTGTAGAGTCCACCTTCTTGTTTTAGGGAGCTCAGGCTACCTGTACAAAAATAATGGACAATGTTAGAATCACTCCAAGTCCCTCCCCTTTCAGCTGATCTTTTGATTCTCTCACAACCCACTCCCTCCAGCACTTGGCTTTTCAAGCTTGCTTGGTTAAATGACAACCCGGCCTCGGAAATCTAGATTCCATCCTTCCTTTCCCAGCTGAGTCATGAGTTGTGCGGCCCGGGGTAAAGGCCACAGGCAGCAGCCCTACAGGGTGCCACTCAAACATCCCACTGTGTCCATGGTATGCAGTCCACTCCAGAGCGGGCTTTTGAGCGCTATAGATGTCCTCCTTGCGTCTCTTGTGTTGGCACACTGTGGTTAGCGCTCCCGTCGCTCAGCTCTGGTCCTTCTGCCTTGTAAGGTCGGAGGATCTTGAAGCGAACGGATGCTGGAAACTCCACACGCGAAGGGGACCACTGGGCACGGGCGGATCGCTGCCGCCGCCTCACCCTTCAGGTCCATGAGGATGAGCCTCGGCGTGTAAGTCTCCTGGCCGTGCAGCGTTCGGCCGGTGCGGTACAGGACGTCCGGGCACAGCTCTCCCGGCGGCTCTTTGGCATCTGCCGGTCCGCCCAGCGCAGCATCCTGGGGAGGTACAGAGCGAGGACCGCACTCAGACACGGAGGGGCAGGCCGGAAGTAAGGGCTGGCGATGCCGAAGCTCTCAGGGCTAGCCTCCCGGAGACCTCACCTGCTGGTTCCACCAGTGCGCTCCCACGAACCCCGAAAAATGCCCCAACTGCAGAGTGAGCACCTCCCGGGCTCCGCCCGCCATGCCTCGCGGCTCCACCGGGTAGCCCGGCCCGCTGCGGCCTGCTCGCTGCTGCTAGCCGATTGGCCAGGCGGGCGTGTGGGCGGGGCCGCACCCTCTGCGTCCTATTGGTCCGCAAACACATCTCGCCCAGAGAATAAACCATTCGTTGGGCTTCCGTGACACCCCTCGCCGCTCCCCGCCTCTTCCTAGCGGGCGCCGGACCTGCCCGGCGCGTCGTTTGGGGGTGCGGCCGGAAGTTGTCAGTGCCAGAGCGCCAGGCTGGAGGCTCTTCCGCTCTTTGCTCTCCTTCCGCGGGCTGGCTGGGTTGGCTCGTGCGAGGTTCTCCTGCCTGCTCCCTCCCTCTCAGATACGGCTACTAGCTACTAGCTCCTCGGGCAAGAAATAAAACCTTGCCAGAAAAGTAGACGCGCCCTTGAAATCTTCCGCGGCTCCCTCTGGCCCCAAACTTAATGAAGTGTAAACCCTGTGCACCGCCGGTCCCTCCATTGGTCTGTCCCTCCAACCAGTCTATGTAGCCACCTATCTAGTCTGCCATGATCACGCATTGTTTTGCTCCATATGGCTTGTGGGATTCTAACCTGTTCTTGATATACTCAGTTCCATTGCTGTAGAATAAGCCTTTGTATGACTATAGTCCAAGTGATTTATTCTGCTGGTAACTGATGTTCGGGGTTGTTCCCAACTTTTGGACTGTTAGGGTCCGAAATCACCCGGTTGTCCCCTGAGACAAAGAACAGGATGAGATGCACAAGCAGAGTTTATTAAGCCAGCTAACTGGGGTCAAGCCTTCCTGCAGGAACGCAGGCCACACAGGGAGGGCAAGACCCAGACCATAGGAATGTCAGAGAATATATAGGCCCTTATCGGCCATTACATGTCATAGCCTGTGCAAATTCAAAGAGTAACAAGCTTCACAGCGCTCAAGGACGGGTTTCTAAGAACAGATGTCTCAGTCATGAGTCAGGAGCTGACATCAGGGTCTAGTTTCAGCCAGTTCCAGAGCTGGCACCAGGAATGCTATCTGCCTGCCCTCCTTTCTGGGCCCAGGGTGAGTCAGAGACCCAGACAGAGGGGCCTAGGGGCCTAACAGGACCATTAGGTGCTACAGTTAACACCCATTTCTGTGCCTCTGCACACATTTCTGTTCCATCAGAAGGTGGGTATATTCAACTTGACTGACAACACCAACTTGGTTTTTACAATTTGTTACCAATTTACAGTTCACCCCAGCATATGGGTATTTTTAGTGGCTATTTCCATAATCCTGTCAACATTATAAGCTTTTAGTTCTTGTCACGGGTTTTAATTTTACTGGTTACAAATGAGAGCATTGTTTCTTCTGTTTATCAGCTGTTTGGATTTCCTTTTTTTTGAGAAGTGACAGTCAAATCTCTTGCCCATGTTTCTTTGTGGTTGTCTTTTATTGATTTGTAGAAGTACTTTATTTGGGTACTAAGTGTTTGCCAATTATATGTTCAAAGTACTTTCTCCCATGCAGGTTACCTTTTCACTTCCTTAAATGTAGTCTTTTTTTTTTTTTTAAATAAAGTTAAAAAAACAACAGATTTACTTATTTATGCATACAAGAATTGTGGTGTAGATCACAGGTGTATGTGGTAAGATTCACCAGAGTGGGGAGCAGAACAGGCAGATGTACTGAAATACACTACTGAGGGGATCAGTGGGCAGGTCAGGAGAGGTCTGCCATGCCATGTGGGTCCTCCCTGGCTGGGGATTGAACTCCTGCTGCAGTGGCTGATGATAGCTTCATTCATAGTGCTATGCTTTAACTTTTTTTTTCTTTTTTTTTATTACAAAGTTTATTTTT